TTCAGCTGACGTTCATCGCGTTCCTTTCCGCCCAAGCGATCAACGCTTCCTCCAGCCCAGAAGCCCATAAGTTGATTTTTTTTATTGCCCGTCACACTTCATGTGGGTCACCTGTATGTATGCCGGTTACAGCGAACAGAGTAGCCTTTAGCGTTGTGTAGTCCTGTTTCGAGTTGCTGATCAAATTTCCGCCCCTCTCAGACTTAGGAGGGACGGAAGACTTCATTATCTTGGGCGGGTATCGAATTACAGTTGGACTCGGAGTCATGCACACTGTAGCGGCGCAACCTGGCACTGCGCCACTTCAGCACAGATATGGAGAAGCAACTTTGAAAAAATCTTAGTTTGAGAGATGGAATTGATCAGCAGGTGGAAGAAATAATGTTAAGCATTAGTAGACAGTTGTTTCAGGAACGCCACCAAGCGGCCATGACAGTGTTGAATGGGCATGTTGTCGTGTGTCTGTTTGCTGATCGTGATTCTCCTCTGATCGGTCTCCGAAACTTCATCATGCCTCTACGGTTGGTCATCTGTTATTCTCCAGAAATCGCCTGATTGATCGATACCGCTTTACCATTTTGGGGACTAGAAATTTTATCATATAATTTAGAGCGTCCAATTTCCATTACCACGAGCTCAAACACGTGGTGATTGTCGGCGATTTGGACTATCTTCGTAAAGAATGGAAAACACTTTACAACCTACCAAAGATCTCCATACTGAACGTAAGTTTCATTTTTAGAAGCGAAAAAAAAAATTCGAAAAGAAGGAGCTCATTTGTGAAGACACAGTTTGCGATAGTTGTCGTCACCTGTCCTTGATTGTAGAACGAAGGTGTTGATGCAATTGGGTTCCTCGGTAGTGGAAAGAACGAGAAACTCTATAGAAGTACCTGGATTTTCGGTGTTTTGGAATTACTCAGCACTTCAACGTTGCACGGGATTATGGTAGAGAATGGGCTGTTGAATGAGAACAGTTTTTGTGGAGCAACGTGGGTCAATTTGGGTGTATCAGCTGGTAATGCTAGACGTAGAACAGCATGCAGGATCATTTACCACGTTCGCTTTTGAGAAACACACAGACACTGGCCCAGGGACAAGTTAATAGGCTCTTCTTGTGCTCTGTTTGGGCCTCCTTTAACTTGACAACGCTCCAGGACGACCTTCCTATGGGCCAAATATTCCCCCTGTAGAGAAACTATTGTATCATTTTTGTCGCAAACTATGCCTCTGATCATTAACTCCTTGACATGTGCTATGTACAAACTTGAGCCCTGCTAAGAGCAAACTGATCAAATCTAACTGGCTTGAAGGCACCGTTCACGATAAACATGGTTTCTGAGATATTCCTCTAGGGTGAATCTGAAACCCCAAGTAGGTATTTCTTTAGAATGAATCTGAAGCTCCAAGTATATCATATATGGCGCTGTCGGATCGAAAAACGGCCTAGTTTGGACGTATTAGGGCTCGAAGATTGTATGCGCTTTATGCCACACCCAAAGGTGGCCGTGCTCCAAAAATCTTCAAGAGACCGCGCCATAATGGAGCACACACATTCAAAACTCAAGCAATTAGTAATGACCCATGACATCCATCGAATTCACGCTTTGGCGTTTTTGGCTTATAGTAGTCAGCTCTACGCAATATCACACAGCTGACGGTTCGTCCTTTCTATACCACTTCTATCGTCATTATCTCAAACAGCCTCCATTTTTACTACTTTTTTGAGGAGTTTTATGAGGTTCGCCAACTTTGGCGCTTTCGACGCAACCCAAGCCGTTCCACATCTTTCATTATTTCACTCAAACTAAGAATCTCGAAATTATTGCGAACTGTATCTTCAAGACTTCGATTGTATAAGGGATGTTTATCGAGCAGTTCCCAATTATGAAGATGATATCAAAAGTCGTTTCAGGGATCGCCCTTATCGCGAGCAGATTTACGAGCGGTTAACATCAATCTCTGTGATATGTGTGTAATTATATCAGCACGAGTGCCTAACACTGAAGACACAACACTTGCAGATAAAGAGGCGATTTTGGCATCGTTGAATATCAAGGCGATGCAGGTGAGTCCTATCCAGTAAATGGGAGTTGTAGCCGTAGTCTTCAACTGTGGCAGTTTGTCGCTGTGACATTTTTGTGAAGCGAAATTTTTGCAAAAAAATATTGTGGGGTGGAACTGGACTTTTGGTCACTGATTAGGTGGTCTGGCTGGTAAACGCAATGTGAAATGTAAATGCTAAATGGTAAAGCCTTAGGTGCTGGTATCGATCCACGTTGAGAACTGGTTTCTGAAAAATATGGACTAGTTCCATCCTTTGTCCTTGGATGCGTCATATACTGAGTGCACTCCCTCAGTTCCTCTGAGATCTATCTGTTCATGCTGCCCCAAACACTCACTTACGGAAATCAGTCGAGTGCTCGCTGGGTCTCAATCATGAACCAATTCGCCTGGCGCTAAAGTTCTGTCCCCTGCCCGACTGTCTATCGTGTAGTTGAAAAACCAGCAAAATATCATTGACAGACTTTAGACTTGTGTTTTCCATCAATCACTTCTAACTTCCCAGAATTTCAGTTCGATGACACGCTTGGATTCTTTCCATTGCGAGGCGGTGATCGAAGTCCATTGGGAAGTCCAATCAGTATGCAGAAGAAAGGGGCAAGATTCGGTACAAACGTGCCAATGATAACTGAATTAGGTAATGCTTTTTATCGATTTTAAGGTGATTTGGATTCTGGAGAAAAGTCAAAATCAAAACTGTTGTATACAGGGGTACTGGCAGTAAATGCTATAAGTTCGATGATAAGATGAGTTTGCTAGTTTGAGGGACTGATGTAGGGTCAGAATTATGAGAGAAGCAGACCAATTTTGAATTCTGAAGGACCCCAGGAAGGAATTCTGATATATCTGGATTGCATTGCAGATCTTCCCCTACGTCCCAAATGAAACCCCGTTCTTGCAGCGTACAGTCAGTTGCAGGCAATATGGGTTGTTGTAGGGTCATCTTAGAAAAAACATGACTTTTGCTAGCTTTGCTAATTTTCTGTGTCAAAATCACTCTGTACATTAAGTGGTCTGTTACAGTGAACGATTCGAATGTGCAGTTTCTCGATCAAGACGATGATGACGATCCGGACACAGAGTTGTACTTGACGCAACCATTCGCATGCGGCACGGCATTCGCGATTTCTGTCCTCGATTCACTTATGAGTACTGTAAGTGCCTTCCTTACGCCTCTTTCATTTCCTTCGATAAAAACGTTAGGTGTCCTGGTTTGGAGGCAGCGGGTGCCAGGGATGAGAGACATGAATGGGGATTGTGTGCATGATGTTTGTCTCAAAGATTGAAGTCAGTGGGGAAGAAGGCCGCTGAACAAGCTGCGCAACATTTCTCACCTTGCTTCTCTTTTGTATGTTTGCATATAACCACCCATAGCGCTTCACCCGTATGCCGAGTAGTGAGGGGGGATCACTTATTTTTGAACATCTTGAGTAGGAGCGCAAGACCGCAACCAACGCTGTCGTGGTTTCTAAAACTAAATACGAAGGGAATAGCGGATTCAGGCCTATTTGAAATGTTTCAGACGTATTTCAATGATTCCGCGTTGACGTTAATTCGAACTCTGGTAACGGGAGGCGCCACACCGGAATTGGAGTTGATTCTTGCTGAAGGAGCTGGTCTCCGAGGCGGTTACAGCACACCGGAAACGCTTTCGAATCGCGATCGATGCCGTGTGCATGATGTTTGTCTCAAAAATTGAAGTCAGTGGGGAAGAAGGCCGCTGAACAAGATGCGCAACATTTCTCACCTTGCTTCCCTTTTGTATGCTTGCATATAACCACCAATAGCGCTTCACCCGTATGAGCCTCTGCTCCTTGATACTTTCTTATCCCGAGTAGTGAATAGGGATCACTTAGTTTTTGAGCATCTTGGGTACGAGCGCAAGACCGCAACCATCGCTGTCGTGGTTTCTAAAACGAAATACGAAGGGAATAGCGGACTCAGGCTTATTTGAAATGTTTCCAGACGTATTTCAATGATTCGGCGTTGACGTTAATTCGAACTCTGGTGACGGGAGGCGCCACACCGGAGTTGGAGTTGATTCTTGCTGAAGGAGCTGGTCTCCGAGGAGGTTACAGCACACCGGAAACGCTGTCAAATCGCGATCGATGCCGTATAGCTCAGATTGCTCTGCACGACAATCCCTATGAGGGAATAGGGGTAAGTTGGGTTCTACCATTCACTCTGACCCCGCTCTCAACATCAGCTTTCCAGCACAACTCGACATATGGCCAAATGTTTACGACGTCTTTGAAAAAATACGGGCAGCTGTGTATCGGGCTCTATCGGTTGCACGATCAAGACAACGCTGAGTCAGTGAAACGATATGTGATTACGAATCCTCCAGCCGAGCTTCGGATCAGGAGCTCGGACTATGTAAGTTTTAGAACTGAACTTTCAAAACCTCTACTACTGATGGGAGGTGGTGCAGTAGCGAGGGTGTACTGTAATACGAAATTCCACCAGAACAGTACCCACCCAAGCCAGTCAGGCTGCCTATCCTTTCGAGGTTGATTATTGGAGTCTCTCCACAATTCAATGCGTAGGCCATAAACGTATCCATATCCCTCTTCAGACTTTAATGTAAAACACGTAGGTACAACCTCTGAACGAGCTTGGTCATGCTGAAGGGTCATTGAAGAACCTTCGATTATGCGTCCTCAAGCTTAAGGGAGTCACTCGGCTTCGGTAGTGTGTTCCGAGCAGTTCTCGGAGAGCTCCCCAATCATAAACTGCTGTCTTGAACATGATCCGAAATGTTTGGTTGGTCTTTTTCAACTTTTGCGTCGACGGGATCATGTTCGAGAGGTAGTTCGTTCGATGTTACGCTCAATTCCATGCTATAAGTTCAGGTCACAACTCTCAACATCTCAATTTATGGTCAATTCTCGATTTGTTTCCCTGTTTCTTGATTTCTTCAGCTTGTTAATCTGCCGATTATAGAGCTTTATTGGATGTTTTTATCGCGATGAGAGATTTTTACAAAGCGATACTTCCACTATTTCCTTACACGAATAAGGGTACATTGTTGTATGCATTGATTGCCTTTAATTATTAATTTTATTTCAAGGTCATCAAAGTAAATATGCAAAATGAAGAAATATGTGAGACTTATGCTATGACAGCTTTTTATCATTACTAGTCAGTTCGAAATACTTCACTCTGCTTAGTGTCTTCTTTGTTTTGCGGCAAACTACTCGTGCATCAAAACAAGAAGGCATTGAACAAAGCTAAGTAATTTTTTGTTCTAAGCTGTGCCCCCACGAATCCAGTATTGGGCTTTGACCATTGGGTTATGTAAAAGCACCGCCCACTTCGAGATTCTCCGCCCACCGTGAAGAGCCTCCGTCTGACTTGTTGACCTATTTCTGACCTTTGTTGGCTTTTTCCCGGTGTCTGGGCTTTTTTGAAGCCATAATGTGTAGTTCTGCTTTTGACACCTTCCACTCCGGTGGACGATCCCTTCTTCAGAGCCATACACCGAATCCTGCTTTGCTCCACTAATTCTAAACTTGATACGACCTCTTCAGGTGCCTCTTAAGGTACTATTCAATTTTATGACAGATGGACAGACCTTGCGCATGTTTTTTCTAATCAACTGAGCTACGTATTTCAACTTGGCTGTAATGAGGTTTTCCGTACTCCTAGCCAACCTGTTTCAACTGACCAGCGATCTTCATATAGGCTCAAAGTGCATCACGAATCACGTCAAAATTACTTTTGCATGAATTCAATCAACTGTGAAATCGTCAGAGCCGACTAATCTCAGATGTCACTCGAAGATTGGTAAATATTAAAAATTCGAGAAGTGTGAAGTATTCGAACACAGCAGAACTCTCGATTGTTGGAATAGACAATTTATTGATCTAAATAAATAACACAATAACAGCACAGCAACTCTAAATAAATTACCTGTGGTCACATCTGTGACACTCTCCCTGACCTTGGTATTGGCTAGCCGGATGACACACGGAGTCCGTAATATTCTCTAGAATTTTCCAGCCCGCGTACGATTTCTTCAGCTTTTTGTAGCATTCCTGGATTTCTTCCGACAACGTACCGAGTGATTTGCTACGCTGTTCTGACCCGCGGTACCTGCACCGTCTTATTCAATTTCGGCAGTGTTCCGTTCTGTGTCGACTGCCTAAAGATGGTTTGCATCGTGCTCGCTTCATTCGCAATTTGGCGCGACATATGTAGGACAGCTGCCTCAATGACGTCTTCCTTAAGCGGTCGATGAAACACATGATGGAGCGAACACGATGGAGCAAATGAATATTTATTCATATTGGAGCAAGTTTATATGTGTGTCAGCCTTAATACTTACCGGTGGCTCACTTGTAATGTTAAAACAAGTGCATTCCATATCCTCATCACATCAGTCTTTCTAACTGTTTCCACAGTCATCAACGCTACAGTGCACTTGGGACAAGAACTCTCGACTGTTGGTAACAACACATCAACACTGAAGAAAGCACGTGGAGAATGCTTCTTATTCATTATGCTCTCTCATCTCATAGCCTAACTGGTTTGGGATAAAACGTAACTTTGACTTTTTTCATAACGGACAAATGATGGAGAAATCCACAAGTCAACACGTTTTTCATTAAAACAATCATTACAAAATTTTCTGCATTCAATGCAACGAAAGGTGACACTTACAGCTCCTTCTGATGTCATAGCACATCCGTGTTTCGGACTTGGTTGCGTAAACTCTACGCACTTTCTGTTGTTTTCTATGAGCCTTTAGGTACCTCTTGCAAACTGGTCGCAGAGTGAAACTGATAAATTGAAGTGGACTCATAATAAACTTCAAGCAGAGATCCCCGATTCAGACCATCTCTCCTATTCCTTTGATTTCAAAGTACCTCGTCCACTTCATCTATCGTTGCTCTTTGATATTCCTCATTGATGTAATTGGTGAAGTGTCCAAAGTTTCCCCAAAGAAGAATATTTGGACGTATGAAATGGCTGGAATCAAATATGATGTTGAGGGCTCAACATCATATTTGATTCCAGCCATTTCATACGTCCGAATACTCTTCTTTGGGGAAACCTTCGGCGAGTGAAAGGAAGTTGTGCGTTCTCCCTGGGGTAGATTTACTACGTGGCCTAAATCCAGAAGTTGTTTGCCGTTGACGTTACATGGTAATTTGAAGGCACAGTTCACGAAAAAATAGTTTCTGGAATTTCCTCATAGGATGAATTCTACCATATGTGCTGATGTCAGGTCGAGAAACATCTTGGATAGGGCACAATAAGGGTCAGTATTGTATCGTGTGAATGCCACGCTCCCAGCGGACGAGTCTCAACGGTGTTGTAAAGTCTGCACTGCTTGAAATTATCCCCTGGAGGAAAATCTAAGAACTTTTCAAGACCCACGGTGACCGTGGAAAACAGTTTTAGGCTATCTTGACTTGATCAGTCAGCTCATTCGGCAATTGTCACAACTGAAATCTCGTCTGAAAGTTCAGATCAATAATGTTGGAACAAGCTATGCGAGTTTTTCATTGTCTATTTAAATGTATTCATTGCTCAGACCTGTTGTTTCAGTTCAGTTTGGTAAGAAGTTTGTACTGCCTTCAATTGAATACTGCGGCCCACATCAATGCCCTTCTCTGAAGAGAGGCATTAGGGAGATTCTAAGTGTTCAAAAAACGTTCAGTGAGATCTTTCACTATAAAATTTACCTCGATTCTAATAACCCGCGCAATTACCTGCTTATAAAATTCGCGTGAGGAGCTGAACCTGGAATCTCTTTTTTTCATGGAAGAGCGGATCCCGACCTGATTCTGGCTTTCAGAATAAGCAAACGGCAACTACGCCCACGTCTGTCCAATTACTGGATTTTCAACCCTTCAATGGGAGGCGTGAGGAATCGCTCAACTTCTTTCCTGAGATGCTGTGCTGTAAACATGTTATCAGTGAACGTAGCTTTTTTACAGATTAATAGATCAAATTAATTAGGTTGCAAGACTTCTGCAGAGTTCGAAGCTGTAAGGTCCCTCCTTAGGGACTTCGAGATTGCGCTGAATAAGAGTGGCTCTGTTTTCGAGTGACAGGCATAACACGATTTATAAATTTATTGTAACAGTAACAAAAAACACGAACAGATAAACCAAAGACTGGGCGGAAAGCAAAAAAAGATAAGATAAAAAGATTCACCCAATGGCAGGGAGGTCCGACCCACAGCACTCACTAAGTCGAGGGTGTCTCAGGGCAAGGAGTTCACAAACTCCGTGTAGGCGGACGGCTGGCGACGGAATGCAAAAAAACAATTGAGGCCGACAATCATCTACAGTAATCTGATCACCCTCAACCACCGATCGGTGTTTTGATCTTCTAGGGCATTTCTTCCTCGGATGGAGGCCAATGACGCGATGCTCTCTGTCCCGCCCTAACATATCCCCCCTCCCCGGCGTTAAGTCGTCGTCCTCGACGACTGTTCTAGATCCGGGAGCTCAAAATTTTCGGCCCTCCTGGAAATGACGGTATAAAGGCTTTGCCGCTGCGCTCCTATAATAAATAGGCATTCTAGAACTGCATGGCTACATCTGAGGCACCTGACTCCAGAAAGAGCTTCCCGTTTATCCATGTGCTGCTAGCCGTGGTGATAATCTGTTCATGCCTCCGAGTTTTAAGAACACCATGTCCAGCGTTCTCCACAGTTTTCCATGGCCCTCTATTTGAAAAAGTTTTCAGCTGTCACAGTAGTCAACCCGCCACCACGCGTCCTCCTTCTTCCACGTGGGTTCTCACCAACTCTACAATCTCTCTCAAAACCTCGTTTTGAATTTGTCCTCTATCGGCAGCATCACTATCCAGACTACAAAGTTGCTCCAACCGGCAAGCGTTTCTGTGAGCCTGTTGTATGACGTAATTACTTTGGTGCTAACCAGTGAGCCCTTCCTTAGGACCGCCCTTTTTGAACAGAAAAGCTGTTAGCGGCGCTGCAAATATTGTGGGCCCATGCTTCACTTTTCTAGTGACCCTGGACTTCTTTTTCAGGTGCCTTTTGAGTCTCTCGAAAGCGCCTATGTAGAATCGATTATAAAATTTTCTTCTATAACCTTGTGTTTCGCCACAGATGAGGTCGCGCGATGGTTATGTTCTGTCTAATTGGTACAGAGAGAATACGCTAGCTTCAAGTTTTCGTTAATGCTTTTTCGTCCAGCGATACGACACCGTGTCTGAGGAACGCGATTTTCTGTGGGACGGTCAGCTCCATCATGATAAATAGCGAGGCTGCTTTCTAGGCGCTCCACATGTCTCCAAACGGTATTTTGCCCTATGCTCCCGTGAAATGGGCATCCTCGATGCCGGCTAATGTCGTCCTTGCAAAGCAGTTGCATGTTTACTCCTGC